TAGGATGAATTCATGGCATGATAACAGTAGGACTTGATAGTCTCCCTCCTAGTTGGGCCTGCTCTCTTCTCATCTCAAAGCAGTTTAAGATACGGTAATCATGAATGATTTCTTTCATACGGTACGAGCCTTAAGCTATCTGAGAAAGGACGCATTCCCTCTCAGGTCATAGTCTCTAGTGCGGTTGAGATCGCAAACACAATAAAAAGCACTTCTTTCAGGAGATAACCCGTAGTTTCCCGAACTACGTTTGCTCTGATCTTTCATACCAGATGAAAGTACGTAGGCATAGGATGCGATATCCTAGCGAGCAACCTTTCCCCCGTAGTTAGCCGAACTACGTTGACTCTGATTTCTCATTCTCTGATGAGAATACGTAGGCATAAAGTGCGACGCTTTGCCGAGTCATTTTTCTTTTCTTTTTCAGCCAGCCTTGATAGGTAGATAGATTATAACCAACCCGTCCAAGTAAACAAACAAGCGAGGATCCCGTCGAGTACGACGGACGTGAGGGGTGCTAATACCTTCCCCTTGCGTAACCGACTCCCGAACCCAGACAATGGTTGCGACGACCTTGTCTTACCCTTTTTCGTCATGTTTTTCCGATCGTTTCCTTTCCCGCTCTGAGGGATAAATAACGAAAGGTGGCGACTCTTCTGTCATGCCGGCACCTTATTTTCGCGCAAGCGACAACAACCTCTTTTCCTTTATCTGCTAATAACTTCTCCCATTCCTTGATCCGTTGACATGCTTTACCAGAAGAATCAGCTACTACAGACATAGAGAAGACTCTATCGACCTTACCTAATGACTCTATTTCTTCTAGCCTAGCTACCTTGGCCTCAATTATTGCAGCATCAAAAACAGACGACACCTCCCTAAAGCTAACAGCATTCACTGCAACAACATTTGTGCCCCTAGTAGTAGAAGAGACCTTTCCTTTTGCCAACGAGTCGTTATATTCTTCCTCCCTCCTTGTTGCATCAAGACTGGAATCTTCCACTTCTTCCTCGTTAGTTTGCAACTGAACCACACAATTACCTTCTTCTTCTTCTTCCTCATTACCACAGTGACTCCAACCATCCTCCGACTCCGAAGATGAAAGAACAACCTCATTCTTCTTATCAACAATGTTCGCATGAATACACAAAGGACCATATACATCTTTAGACATCCTTATGCTAAAAACCTCATCATTGATCTGGACTTTGAGAATTTCATTCAACACCAAAACATAATTATTTCTCACCATAATACGTGCCACATCCATACACTCACCTTTCAAAGTATTTTTGTCAACAAAAATATATTTTCCTACAATTTTAGCCAAAAGTTCAAAAAACGAAAAGTTCCAAGAAAGACAAGGAATGTTGTGAAATCTCAACCTAGTAACCCTCTCCTTATCCACATCATCCTCTTTCCATTTTCTAATATCAGAGAACCACTGCTTCCACCATGATTCTACCTCCCTAATTAGGTCTTTGATTTCCCCCTCCTCATTCTCCTCCAATAGGCACAAATTAGCTCCAAGGGGTGTCACTTTGATGGAGAAATAACCTTCTAACTCAAAACTAGTCTGAATGTTATAAGACATACCTGGATTACAAACAACACCTATGCACGTCTTTCTAAATCGTCTAATGTTCGTCTCAATCGGTTGATAATTCAAAATAACCGGTATCTTACGCGAGCTAAGCAAGGAAGGTTGGCCAGTATTGTTGACGACATCTACAAAGGACCTACCATCCCCCCTCCCTCCATCAGCTCCAAATCTCCTCCTTCCCTCAACCTCAGAACCTTCTTTCCTTGAAAAGTTAACCCCCTTTTTCTTTTTCTCCCCCTTTAGAATCAGAATGAGTTATTGAAAACCTTATAATGTTTGCATGTATCTTGACATTGCCGATAAATATGTTATCCAATTTGACCGCCAACACCCTTTCGTCCTCCACGCCAACAAATCTAGCAAAACCGAAATGTTTGTCGAACTTATTCCTCTTGGGGGGAATAACCATTTCGATCACCCTGCCAAATTCTCCAAAGAGCTTAAAGATTTCATCCGCTTTCACTCTATCTGGAATCTCCGAAAAATAGAACGATTGAACACCTTTTGCCCCGTCTGAACTTCCTTCCCCTGCTGAATGTGCGTCCCACCTATTATTCCTGAAAAACCTGAAGTTCCATCTCCTTGCCTTTTGCTATTCCATTAAACAAAGTTGAAAAAAGTGGTGGGGGAATATGTGAACAGCTTACAAAAAAGTGAAATTTTTCTGGTTGTTTTTAACATTGAATTTGCTATGTGAATGAGTTAGCTTTCTACTACCTGACAAATGCTTTACTTGTTAGCCATTTTATTCCACACAACATTTTGAGAATTTTTGCATACCTTTGAACTAAACCAACTTATTGACATGCAATAAGCGAGACTTGAGTCTTGAATTTTTTAGAGTGGTTAAGCCTTAAGCAAAATTTTGTTTGACGAATCTTCTTTTCATAATTTGGGGTGTTTGTGTTGCAGTTTGATCGATTTTAACATTAAAAGTTATTTGAACTGTAAGAAAAAAAATATGCGGTTTGATTTAATTTGATTGTCTTTTAAAAATAAAATCGAACTAAATCAAACCAAACCAATGCAGTTTGATTGATTTGATATTTTACAATATTTTTATTGAGTGAGGTGTTTTCGGTGTAGTGTGAGCAGTTTTGATGCTAAAAGTCATCGAACCGCAAGAAAAAAACATGTGGTTCAACTAACTTTTAGAATAAACCAAACCAAACTAAACCAATGTGGTTTGGGTTGATTTAGTTTTTTTACAATATTTTTATTGAGGCATACATACACATATAAATGACAACATAACTTTGTGTTTAGTCATTAGTACATTATCAAATAATAAATAACAATGTCAAAAACATAAAATATGTGATAAAAATGAAATTGAAAGAGAGAATAATAACATAAAAATGAGAAGATGAAAAAGAAAGAACATCAAAGAGGAGAGATTAGAGAAGAAGAAGCGAAATGTACCTTGCAAAGAAGATGAGAAGACGTGATACTGCTAGGAGAGATTAGCGAAGGCTGAAACTAAAACCCTAAGCGTGCTGAAGAGAAACTCGCTCGTAATCGTAAGGCTAAAATTAAATGGATTTATGTTTGGGTTGGATGTGAGTGAAGTTTTAATTGTAACATAATGCAATCGATTTGGTTTGGCCCAGTTTACAAAATACAAACCACAAACTGAACCGAACTGTTCAGTTCTATTAAAAAATGACTCACACATCTGAACAAAATACAGTTTTTTTGCAGTATTGGTCGACAATTTTTTATTAGACCGGTTCAATTTTAAACACCCCTACATAGACATATATAAGACAACATAACTTAGTGTTTAGTTGTTCATACATTACCAAATAACAAATAACAATGTCAAGAATATAAGAGGTGCAATGAAAACAAAATTGGAAGAGAGAACGGTAATAGCATAAAAATAAGAATATTAAAAATAAAATTAAAAAAACATAAGAGAGAAGAGATTAGTGAAGAGGAGGCGAGATGCACCTTGTGAAGAAGAAGAGAAAAATACGTAATACTACTAGGAGAGACTAGTGAAGGTTGAAACTGAAACCCTAAGTGTGAGAAAGAGAAAATCGTACGTAATCGTAAGGCTGAAGCAGAATGAATTTGGTTTTAGGTTAGATATGAGTTAAGTAAAGTTTGAATTGTAAGGTAATGTAGTCTAGTTTGGTTTGGTTAGTAAAATACAAACCATAAACTGAACTGAAATGCACAATTTTATTAAAAAATAGGCCAAACACATCCAAACCAAACACAATTTTTTACGATTTTCAACTTGATTCAACTCAATAAACAATTTTCCATTAGATCAGTTCAGATTAAGTACCTTTAATCATAACAAGTGAGTAGAGATCTCTTCATTACTAGTATAACTCAGCATGTAGAAATGAAAATAGCCCCATATACAAAATAATAATAACAATAATAATAAAACTTCGCGAAAATAACTTACCCCCTTAGTTTCAATTTATAAATCATAACTTTAATTAACTTCTAGAAGAGAACGTCTTAATCTGCCGAAAAACGTTGTAAAGGGTCACAGGAAGAATCAGGCAGGCGTAACATGGCAAGTAATATGTCGTCCGATTCAATCTGATCCATCAAGCCTAGGACATGGATCGCTCGACTCAAATCCATATCCATTAAATGGTATCTGCTTCAATACGTGTCAAACCACGTATACTTAAAATTGCGGTAATTATTTTTCTAAGGGAAAAACGGTTCCTCCTATACGTCAAAAAGAACAAGTCTTCTTATTCTCACGTCAAAAAGAACAATTGGGCTGGAACCTTTCGTCACCCACAATTTAACTCAATCGTAACTATAAATATCTCAACTCCTAAAATTTAGAGGATTCATTTACTATTCAAATATTCAACACCCCTAACAACCCTCTTGCAATCCTCGTGCATTCTAGGTAACACATATTGTATTTTTGCAAGTACAGTTTTCATTTTTTCTTTAACTTTAAATACAAGACATTTTACACAATTCTAAACGCGGCTTATTATCATAACCATAAAATCTGTCCCACGCTAGTCAGCCTACAGCAAACAGTAACAAACAGCATCAAGTTCCTAAAACTTCAACATGCCATAATAGCAACACCACACTCCTCGTGAGAAGCCTTTAATTTAGCTTTGAACGGTGAGCCATCAATTAAATTCAAAGCCAACGGCTATGATTCCAGGTAAGCCCCGCAAATGGGACCCAAGTTTCCACATTTCACATTAGCGGTGGACCTCATATGAACCTTGCCAACCCAACACCAAAAGAAACATGGTTCATGCAATTTTTTTCATTTATTCCACTCCACATCACCAAACATATTCAATCAAAACAAAACAAACCAACGCTCCTTGCACTTTCATCATTCCAACTTCACATTGTTTTGTTACACTAAAATAGTTAAAAAAGCAAGCAACTCATGGAAGCTTTATGGGATTTGGTAGACAAATTGAAGATTTCAACTCTAGGTGCTATTCTTCTACTTGCATGTGCATGTTGTGCACTTCTTTTCCTTTGCATTATTCTTGTACTAAAAAGGAAAGGTAGTAGTAATAACAACAAGATTGTGAACCAAGAGGGTGTTATAGAAGAGAATGAGACTTCTTCGACTATCACGACTACAACTACTACTAGTACTACCACTACGACAAATGCTACTATTACTACTACTGCTTCTACGAACTGTGGATGGATTTCAGTGAAAAGGGTGTTGATGGAGTCAATGGTGTGGAGCAGGGCGAGGAAACTGGAAGAGAATATTGGATGGCAGAGAGAAAGAGGATCTCCATTGCTAGGAAGCTTAGAAAGGAATGGTGTTGAAAGTGGTTGGAAAAGTGTGAGTCATGATTCAGCATCAGCAGTGTGGCAAAGACCAATACTAAGAGGGGAGAAATGTGAGCTTCCAAGTTTTAGTGGCCTCATTCTCTATGATGAAAAAGGAAAATTGCTAAATGATGATTTTGTGAATGAGACACAATGCATGGAAATTTCTAAACAGGTAATTAGTCAATTATCCCTTTCATGTACATAGCTTGTACTCTTGTAGATCTATTACATCAAACTGCTGAAACTATATATAGGAATAGTTTAGTAAAGAAATAATCAATGCAGTTGAAAATATAAAAAATGATCCTGTAAAAAGTGAAAAATATTTTTCAAGAAAATCATATATTTAGAGACGGAGATAGAAACTTATCACTCGGTAGAACGCAACATAATTGCTCCAAGATATTGAATCAAATTGATGTTGCAAGTTGCATCCTCTAGTTTCGGACAACATATTTGCTGCATCTGTTATTTCTAACTTCAATTTATGTTTTTTGCAGGAAGAAATAGATATTATTACAGTGAGAACTACCCTAAAAGATTTACTATAGTACTTATGTTACTGGCTCTTTCTTTCGGCTTTGAGTTGTATCAAATAGACAATGAGGTTTTACTGCAATGAAATTTTCCTATCACTCTTTTTTTTCACAAAGAGTTTCATATTACTCTGATAACAAAATTATCAAGTCACAGAAACGGCAGTTTTTCCTTGCACTCAATCATGCATTTTCCATTATAATGATATTTCCAAAGCAACATTCACGACCTTCTTTCACTTTCTCTATTATTTTTAAATGACTCGTTTCAAAATACATCTTAGAGGCACACAATAAAGAAATTGGTTACATACAGCAAGAATTTCAAGAGTTTTGAATGGCGTTATCGTGACTTTAGTTTACAATATCACAAGGTTATTAACAGATTTCATCCATTCATTTCATGAAAGTTTCCATTCTGACATAGTTAAAATAAAATGCTGACAAAAGACAATGCAAGAAATGTAACTAACTAGGATAAGAGGGCAAATTCAAATATCCATACGAATTGAATCAATTAACTTCTGTTACCAAAACCATATATATTCAGCCATTCAATTCATGTAGAATATTCCACACATAATGAATATCTAAGACTAATTTCAGAAAATCAGCTCACACGGACTGAGGAAGATAATGATTCATAATCACAAATAGTGTGTTTACCTTTTCCCTTGTCATCATCACTCAGAAATACAAATTATCCATAAGAAACTATCAAAGGTTCTCTTGAGTCATCGCAAGATGAACTCTTGAAATAGAAGTATAATACCAATTGTATCATTGCCAAACCAGTACCTATCCCATTCGGTACCTGAAAACTCAAACAAAAATGTAGGTATAACAAATATAAGCCAACGGAACAAATATCTGAATTCTGAAATTAAAATAAACCTTTTAGAAAGAAACTAGCTGAAAGGACGTGATTCTTACATAAATGAAGACATCATCACTGAGTAATCCATAAAGGAAAAATGAGACGCTCATTAAGAAGGTCGAAAGCGAAAGACAAAATGGCATAAACTCAACACTCTTCGTACGAATGACCAAATTCTGCAAATTTATATACATCAACAGTTTCACAAAGCTTGAATCAACAAACATAAACTAGAAAAACTCTGTATTACATAAATATATCAAACTTACAATAATAAACAACGGAGAGGCAAACATTGAAATTAGAGAAGCACAACTCAAGCATCCGATAAACATTCGGCGCATAGAACTATCAGTTATTTTCAAGCTCCCAACTAGTATGACAAAAAATATGCCGAAAACCGCGAGCAATAATCCAAACATTCTCACCTATCAAATGACAGTAAACAATTAACAAACCAATGTTTCTCTGCAATAATTATGACAAAAACTCGACAGTATCAGAAGAATAACAAACCTTTCTTGGTTTCTCAGCATAGATTAAGAATAAGAGAATATACACAAGCTGAAAAGCTGCTCCAATTGAATTAACAGTGGTAACCAAAAGATTATCAATCGATATAAGAGGAGTTCCATACCACAAGCAAATCAAGCAATTCAATAAAGAGTAAATATATGGTAATCCCGAGAACAATTCCGTCGACCCATTTCTGATAATTCTCCTAAATGTGGGTCTATAATTCATAACAGAGAATCAAAGTTAATAATAATAATAATAATAATAATAATAATAATAATAATAATAATAATAATAATAATAATAATAATAATAATAATAATAATAATAAAATTCTTCAAACAAAAAACCATATAAGAAACTTACATTGGGGAAACAAATAACCCAAATGCAAAGATGTTACCTACAAATAAACATTCAAAAATTGAGATGAAGATAAAGATAAATCTAAAAGGGATAAAATCATTGAAAATGAAAGAGAGAGAAAAAGTACCAGCAATTCCAGCTGAATCTTTACAAAGTTCAAGAATGGGATAAGCATTAAACAGAGACATCAATTTCCAAACAATAATTCCAAATTCGGGAGAAAAAAAAGGTGAACCCTGAATTTGAGATATCATGCAATGTGTGGTTTTGTTTCTGATTTTTGGTCAAAGTTTTATCTCTGTGATGATAAATCTGTGTTGTGTACCTCAACCTCTCACTGTGTATGATTGACCTTGACACTTACTATAACGACTAAGACAAGGAAAACGATTTTTAACATAAAAAAAAAAACGTTTTATTCGGCATATTCTGGTTTAAGTGTCGTAAGGTTAGAGTAATTATAAGTTTGCGAGTGCTCCGTAAAAAAACCCTAAAAAGTTTTAATATATATTTAAGGGTGGAGATTAACTTATTTTAAGAATAAATTTTTTTAATTTATTTTAATAGTAAGTTTTTTTAAATTTAATTTATATCATAATTTTTAAATTGAATCTAATTTAATAGTTAAATTAATATTTTTATTTATAATTATTTAATTTAATTTAATTTAATTTAAAGAGTAAAAAACTTATTCTTTAAGTAAGTCGATCCGCACTCTATATTTAAGGGTTAAATAGGTCAGAGATCCTAATAAATATGTCAAAATTTAATTTTAGTCTTTTAAAAAAAAATTTCAAACAATGATCCTCGTAAACTTTTTCGTTCATAAAATTAGTCCTTCCATTAATTTTTACAGACGGAGGCTAACGTGACATGCCACATAGTTTTTTTAATGATGTGACATACACGTGGTAATGTCAGCGTGACAAAAAATGATGATATGGATGTTACATGTTAATTGTTTCCATTTTATACTAACAACATATCTAAAACTCTGAAGTAGTAGCTAGTTTATAACTAATTCGTAGTAGCAACTTCAATTTAAACTTCGAACGGTTTAAAAGATGCTTCATGCAGGTGCTGTCAGAGATGTGTGATCAATTACTTAATAGTTATGGTGATATTGATGGATCATCAGCAATACCACCGTCTGTTGTACAACTCCTAAATTCGAAAGCATGCAGAGGTACATGCTTAATCTTACTAGCTGCAACCATTTATGCTCAGAAGTTTGGAAAGCCTTGCTTTTAGGTGTCGCTACTACGAAAAAAGGTGCCGGCAAAGACAGAAGAGTCGCCACCTATCGTTATTTATCCCAAAGGAGGGAAAGGAAACGATCATGAAAAACCTAGCGAAAAGGAAAAGACGAGGTCATCGCAACCAAGTCCTGGGTTCGGGAGTCGGTTACGCAAGGGGGGCGTATTAACACCCCTCACGTCCGTTGTACTCAATGGGATCCACGTTTGTTGTGTTTATCTGACGGGTTGGTTATCTATCTACCTATCAAGGCTGGCTCAGAAGAAAAGAAAGGAGAAAAAGTGACTCGACAAAGCATCGCGCTCCGTGCCTACGTATTCCCGTCTGGAACGAGAAATCAGAGTCAACGTAGTTCGGCTAACTACGGGTGATGGGGGAAGGTTTCTCGCCAAGACATCGCATCTTGTGCCTACGTATTCTCATCAGAGAAATCAGAGCGAACGTAGTTCGGGATAAAACGGAACACAGGTTGATTCATTTGTTTTTTTACCCGAGTAAAGTTAAACTACAGTTCCAGCAGTTAGGGACAATGCCAGTTTGCGGTAAAACTGAAGCTTAACAGCACTCTTTTCGTCAGAAAAGGTTTTCCTTATTAAAGGGAGCCCACGGGGCAAAAGAGGTTTGATGTTTGTTTTTGTCTTTTACGGAAAGAAGTGTTTTTTATGAATGTTTGTAATTCATACTGCACTAGAGACTATGACTCAGGAACGAATGCGTCGCATATCGTCCTAAGGACGTATACTAAACACTCTAGGTAATCAAGGAGAAGCCCCTCAATCACCACTTCTTAAGTAGCTTAAGGCTCATAGCATGCGGTACAAATTAGCCTTTATTATGTGTTTTATTGTTGTTTTGAGATGAGAAAGCGAAAGGACTCTAAAGGGAAAACTGAATCCTACAGTTGTCATGCATCATGGCCCTAGAGTTGAGTTTGAAAGGGAATCTACCCTACTATTATCATACATGGATTCAATCTAATGTCTATCATCACCATCCTTGAACAAGGAGGTGAGAATCCTAAGGGAACATGCAAAGGGGAAAAAACACAGCTAAAATCATTAAGCAGATGAGATAAGAATATAAACAGATGCATATGCGATGCAACAGTACAAGCAAGGGAGACCAGCTCAACCTTCAATGCAAACAGGAGATGCAAACAGAGAAAGCACACAAGCAAAGGGAGGCAAGCTCAACTTTAAATGCAAACATGATAAAAAGGAAAAGAAACAAACAAGCAAATGGAGACAAGCTTAACCTTTAATGCAGACATGCACCTAAACAAAAGGGTATCTACACATGCAAGTCTATCCTAATGCAACAGCAAGAAGGCAGACATGGAGGAGAGAGGTAAACCAGATGAGCAACAAGGAAATCATCCCAAGCTACATCAGGTTTAGATGTGTGTTAACACAAGAGTCCATCTCAGGTTCAACCTCTTGAGGAATACATAGAATCCAACCAAAGGAAGGATTAGGCTCTCACAAGAGGGATCCTAGGAATATAGGACAGATGAGAATGGTGGAACCTAGATGTCAATCTAATGTATCTAGTTAATATGTATCAACACAGAATGTCCATCCAAGGCTCAACCTCTTGAGGAATGCACAGAATCCAACCAAAGGAAGGATTAGGCTCTCCCAAGAGGGATCCTAAGAATAGGACTTGGAGAAGGAAGATATTGCAAACCAAAGGAATGTACTATGCCATTGAATGTCCATCCAAGGCTCAACCTCTTGAGGAATGCACAGAATCCAACCAAAGGAAGGATTAGGATCTCTCAATAGGGATCCTCATCAGGACTATTTGAATGAATGGGCAGGGCAAAGCCAAGCAAAGAAGCCACACATGGGAGAGAAATCATCACACAAACTTCTAAAGAAAGCCTTCAATGTTTAGCTCTAAGGAAATCCAACCTAAGGGAGCTTAATGGCCTGTTAAGTGTTTGAGAATCACCTTAAAGATGTATCAACCTATGAACTAAGGTATAAAGGGGAGATTA